CAAAATTTCCCGTTATGCATGATGGATACAAATAACATTATTAGTATGATGAGTTCCTTCTATGAAGACGAGCATTAAATTGAGATCTTGCTTTACCTTCTTTTGAAACAGGACAAAAGGGCGTGAAAGGAGAAAAGGGTACCAAAGGAGTCAAGGGAGAGAAGGGTCAGAAAGGACTGAAGGGCCTCAAAGGAATGAAAGGAGTTAAAGGTATGCAGAATCGTTTCCGAAGATATAAACTTCTCCAAAAATGAAGACTCATGACCTGTTATGGCATCTTTCAGGCACGAAAGGAGAGAAGGGAATAAAGGGACAGAAAGGCCTCAAAGGAACGAAGGGAGAAAAAGGTCAAAAAGGACTGAAGGGAATAAAGGGTGAAAAAGGACTGAAGGGAATGAAAGGTATTAACTGATAATTTTTCCAACTGTGCGATATGTCTAACTTCTTCACAGACACTGTACGCTGCAATTTTTAAATTATCCCCCAGGACTCAAAGGCGTAAAGGGCATGAAAGGTGACAAAGGTTTGAAGGGAATGAAAGGAGTTAAAGGCGTGAAGGGGGAGAAAGGCACGAAAGGAGGCAAAGGACAGAAGGGAGAAAAGGGTATGGAAATCTAATTTCTTTCTCTCAGCTTTCTTCGTTTTTCGAGTTGCAAAGAGCCTTTAATGTTTGCTTCCGTTCCTCTCTAACAGGAACGAAGGGCCTGAAGGGCATGAAAGGTACCAAAGGTACCAAGGGGGTAAAGGGCATGAAAGGAGAGAAGGGACCTAAGGGTCAGAAAGGCGGCAAAGGAGTGAAGGGAGAAAAGGGTGAGCTCTTTTCGCACATCATTTCCATGAATCCCTTAGGAGCGATATACGAGAATTTAAAAAAATTTCCTCTTGATTTCTCCCTTGTAGGCACAAAAGGAACGAAGGGAGTCAAAGGACTGAAAGGTGGAAAGGGGACGAAAGGTATGCTGGGCACGAAAGGTCAGAAAGGAACGCAAGGGATAAAGGGTCTGAAAGGAATGTTGGGGCCCACCGGACCGGCCGGTGGTCCGCCCGGACCTTCCGGACCGCCGGGCCCCCCGGGCACCACCGGACCCGCCGGAACGCCCGGACAGATCATCACTGCCATCGGCCCGAAGTTCGGACTCTGGTTCTGGTTGAAGATCCTCAAAGACGTGGCTCTGATCGTCTTCGTCCTCTACGTCGGGTACCCGCCGTTCCTCGCTCGAATGAACGACGACTTCGATTTTGGGTCAGACGGGAGTTTCTCCGACGCTGGGTTCCCCGATCCCGGGTTCCCCGGCCTCCAGCCGCCGATCGTGCGGGACGATTTCCCCATCCGCCGGAATCAAAATCCTTCACGGACCGTTTCCAAGACCGTTCCCAAAACGTCTCTCTTCTCCAGACTGAGTCGAAGGCCCGCCGACAGGTCCAAGGAGAGAGAGAGGGAGAGAGAGAGGGAGAGAGCGAGGAAAGAGAGGGAGAGAGAGAGGGAGAGAGCGAATCTACGGCCGCGAGGCCCAAGCACCACCAAGACGAGTGAAACGAGACATTCCTCGGCCAAAAAGACCCCAACCGAAGACAGAAGGACGAGGACACCCTCGCGGCGGCGAATCAGACGACGGCAATAAACTTGCCGCCTTCGTTTCGTGGTGTTGTGAGTTACCATTCCGATAGCATAGTCAGGGAATAATACCGCGTGCAATGGTACTTTAAACGTCAAAACTCTTTGGAAACCATTTTCCGAGAGGATTCCTCTGTTACCAAGGGTGAAAGTTATCAAAAGTATTGAGTGGATTAAGCTGTGGATTAAGCTGTCACATGCAGTTACTAGTTGCTCAATTAGTTCCTAGTTGCTTTACGATAGTGATGCATTTGTGCTGCGAGTTTTCTGTGATTGCCTGTTTTCTGGGTTTGGAAACCAAGCAATGATGTTTTCGTCTCCGGTAATCACGAAGAAAATGCCTAAGACGAATACTTTTTTCGATTTTCGAAGCGAAAAATGGGAAGTCTGCACTGGCGAAAAAGTGAACGAGAACCAAAAATCTGGATATCGTGGGCGAAATTTTTTCCCGCCATTTTCCGTCCAAACCTGTCATTGCAGGCGCAGACATTTTGCGCTCAATTGCATATGACTGCGGCAAATTCTTTTTGGTCCGATTAAAAATTTTCGGAAATTTTTGGGGGCTGAACGTTGAAACGCCCTTTAGTTAACGGTTCTTTGGGAATGCAAGGACTCCTTTGAACCAAAATTTTTGCCAACCGATCCGACGAACCTTAAAATAACGTTCCGGTCGGCAGACGAAAACGTTATTGCAGCTTGTGAGGTGCAATTTAAAAAATGGAGCGTTTGTTGGGAGCCGTTTTCAGATGCGTGCGACGTGCTCCTAATGGATATTTATTATTTATTCTCTATTTATTATATATGTTCCCTATTTATTTAGTCATATATTCGTGACATTGTATAGAAATCGTCGTGACATTCATTATCCGGTGATGAGTTTCCGATCGTCACACGATGCAATAAAATTTTTTTTCCCGATTGCGTCTATTTCCTCCAATGCGACCGTTTCCTTGCGTCGTCCGTGGGAAAATCGCTCCGAGAGAAAAGAATTCGATATCGATCGACACAGAGGTTGCAACACGAGACCAAAACCGCATGTGAAGACTCGAGAAACGCCTGCGATCGTGCGCGATAGATCCGGCTGTTGTCGAGATCATCGAACGTTTCGCATCGACCAAAGTTGGATTTACGTTTCACCAGGTCTTCCGAGATGAAATAGAACAGGACTATGAGAAAAAAGTGGGACGTCGTCAGAGCGTCCTTTTTCGAATGTCGGAGTACATGGCGTCAAATTTGAAAATATGTTCACTCAATATACCGGGTGCAGAGAAAAAAAAAAAGAGCCGCTGTTAGAGAATGTTCTGAAAATCCGTGAAAGCCACAGCTGCACGCGTCGCATCGGATACGGATCCACACGTACCGAATGAAACCGAATTTCGGAATTTCGGCGATTCAGCCGCACGCCGAAGACGCGTCGACGTTGCTGCCGTCCGACGGCAAACGCGGCCGCGGCCGACGCGGTGCGCGATTTGGTTCGAAGACGATCGAGTTTCCAAGACGAACGGCGGGCGGGGATTTCAGAATTGTTTTTTCTCAATCTCCCAGGAGCCAAGCCAGTCGGGCAATTTTTCTCAGGACATAGGGATATCGAGAAAAGATGTTTCAAAGCATGCGTAATTAGGCACACTCGCTCTAATCACCAAAAGGGCAATAAAACATAAAATTGATGGGCAGGTAGGCATGTCATCGAGCAGTTAAATCCCAGCATGGGAGTCCAACGAAAGGTTTCTTCAGCCCTTGCACTCTTAGAAAATTCCGAGCGTTTAGGGAGTAAAAAGGGAGCACCATGTGAGCAATATTCAAATTTACTCCCTTATTACTCACCAAATGCTCCCTCGTCGCTCGTATTGAAGTGAACACCTTCAAGTTCTTCGCCAGGCCACTAGATGGCGGTAAGGGTCTCGCTTTTCGCACAGTACGCAAAAGTTCCCTTCCCTCTTTCCCTGGAATCGTCACTCGCAGGATTTTTGTTTAGTACCTCGACATATGTCTCGCCTAGTCTCATTATGGGAATCAATAAACACAGACACTTCATCATTTGTTATCAACATATTCAAGATATGTTCATGGAGTCCAGGCCATAAACAAGCTCATATTCCTATTGAGAAACCTTTTGGGAAGCGTATGATTTTATCCGCACAGGAAATCTAGAATATATGTTATGTGTCCGTGTATTTCAATCATACCTCAATTAAATGAGGTAATGAAGGACTGATATCCTGGATACTCCACGGAACCTATAAGAGGTGGTCCACCTTCTGACGTGTATTGTAATCAGTATAGTCAGTGGTAGGTCAACGTCTGTACGAGAGCGAAAGTGACATAGTATATACCTGTATGGGAATTTTCGTATTTGCATGACATCCCTATTAATTTCTGATGGGAGCTGTTTTTACTCACGGAAGAGGCGAGCAATTTTACTCCTTGGTAATGAAGCAAATTCGCTCATTTCCCAGAGTGAAAGGGCAGTGAAACTAGAGTTTTTTTTTTTTAATAGAAAAATCCCTCTCCTTTTTCTAAGAGTGTTTCATTTGACGTTTTAGTCGAAAAATCATCTCCATCCTAGATCTGAGAACTGCTCCGGAATCTCGGATCGGAAGCAGCGAAACATCACGTGACATTCCCCGGCAAGCTTCGAGACCGAAGAGATTTCACGGGACGGAAAGAAGGAAAATGCATGCGATCGCATTGGTACCGTCATACTTTTCTCGCTTGGTCTGCATATACCGGTCGCTGTACTTTCAGCGACTCCGCTTTTTCTAAACCAACGATACTCGACATTATGGAATTCCAAATGAAAAATTCGAGCTTATGTGGATTTGGAGATACCGGAGACAGCGGGGAATGATTTTCTCGCATCGGGTTCACTCCGCTCATTCACCTCGCCAGAGCGCCACTGGCGTTCATGCACGAAGTCGATTCGAGAAAGTGAAGAAATGCGCAATCCATTCCAAAATTAGAACGATGACAGGCACTTCCAAGAAACCCGTCACGAGAATCCATGTCGAGATCACACCGTGGAGTTCTCGACGTCTCGCGGGAACGCGCTTGAACGAATCAGGTTCTTGGAAGCAGAAACGACGATATGGAACAACGGAGTAAAAACTGATGAAAACGCGATAGACGGAAGGGATTCGAGGATGCTTCCTCGCAAACGAAGGATATGCAGTCAAATCCTTTTTTCGCCGAAGAAAATGGGATGTCATCGACGCGCGTGAGGGCCGAAGGAGATGGGATGTCATCAAAGCGCGTGAGGGCCGAAGGAGATGGGATGTCATCATCCGGAGCGAAAGCGTGGAGACGGCGCAGGTCGCTTCCGATTGGACGGGAGCCGGGGGCACGGTCCGACTGTTTTTCTCCTTTTTCCCCTCCCCAAAGTCATCACCAGTCGCCATCGATAACCCCCGTGTGTTTTCCACCGTCTCCTCGAGACAGTCGTTCGTCCGATCCGATCTCGTGAGGAAGCCTCCGCGCCAGACCCGAAGGGTTCCCACAAGCCTAGGTAAGCCCACGCAGTCCGTGGCTCGTCCTCGCCGAGCGCGGCGTTCCCCAAACTCGCCTCGAATTCGGTGGATTCTCGGAATCGCGCTCAGGTGAAAGCCAGGTGCTCAGGTGAAACCTCGCCGCGACAGTCGTCCGTCCCCCAGACATGGCGGAGATCGTGCCTCGGGTGGATTCCTTGTCCCAGCTCTGCCAGGAACTGCACCGCGTCTTCGACTCCGACCGAGTCGACGTCGACTACGTCTACGAGCTCATGAGGAACTACAAATCCGATCCCAAGGAGTGGAAGAAATTCGCCAAGTTCGATCGATACAGGTGAATTTTCCCCCCTTCCCTCTCGCGGTGAATCCGTGACGAACCGGTTCCTCGCCGAGGGAACGCCGGGATTTTAAATCATTAAAAGATGCCATCTCGCAATCGATAAGTATACGTTTCTCCCCGCACGAAACAGACGCGACGACCTCGAATGGCAATTTTATGGAGAGCTTAAATTTCCTGTCATAGACTACAAATAAATCAGACACGCGTTCTTTTTTTCGTTCCATTAAAACCGTGCCCCCGTCAGAAATCGTCATAAAATGACATCGACTTACCAATTGACCCTTCGGCGATGATACGATCGTTAGCAAAAACCAACAGAATTATCTCGGCCGTGCATCTCCCAAATAGCATCTCGTGCTGAAAAGTACTCGATTAAGAAGGCGCTGGCAGGAACGAACGTTTCATTTCACAAATCGACGATCGAGAAAGGGAAAGGAAAGAACAGAACGAAAGTGGATCTGCACGAGTCAAAGGGTGAAATGTTTTTCAAACGCCGACTTTCGTCTTTCCCCCTTCGCAAGGATCGCATGCGACTTCGAGGAAGAACACTTTTCTTATGGATCGAAAGTATAGAAATTGGGGTGCATTTTTTTTTTTTAATGCTGGAGCGGAGGGGTACCGTAAGGGTTCGGGTCGATCGAAGTCGGCTTTCTCCTGCCTGTAAAGGTCATTGAACGCCGTCGGATCGGCCGGACGAGCCATACATCGAAAGGATAAATTTCTTCAGTCGATCGTAATTCAAATTTCAAGCTTTCCTTACGGTCTGTTCCCGGCCATTCGATAAACTGGAAGGACATTATTATTATTATTATTATTTGCATATTTAATATACAATCCAGTCCGCAAAAAAAAAGTATCAGCACTGCACCTTCAGCTACTATTCATTCCCATACGAATCCTCCGAGAGTCTCCTCGAAATGAAGACGGATCCCCTTCGGCCGGCATGCCGATGCGAGCGGCACGTAAAGACGAGCCGCTGATGCATTCCGCTCCCAGCCGTTCCCTTTCTCCCTCTCGCGTGGACTCCGTGGCGGGTGCGGAGGCACCCCGGCGAAAGGGGGCCGAGGGGAGCCGAAGGGGGCCGAAGGGGACCGAGGGGGACCGAAGGATGGCAGATTCCATCGTGGGAATTCCGTTGGGTGGAGGGGGAGCAGTTTTTTTGAACGAGTTCGCCAGGGGCTTTATGGGATTTCTGGACTCTTAGACGTAGTTGGGATTCGAATGCGATGTTTCCTTCTGGCTGCAGGAGGACGGAGTCGTTCCGTCCGTCTCCCAGTCACCCATTTAATTAATTGGTAATGAGGGGAATCTCGCGTGTGCGGAATATGTTGTGCCGTGACATGGGTGTGCCCCCCCCCCCGGTTACTTATGTAAGTAGATTTGGTAGGTTCGTGTGAGTAACCGCCTTTGCTACATTTGTAAGGAACTTTTGCATGATTCTGCTTCTTGAATCGTTCCTATATCGCCATAATCTAGAGGAGAGTGTTTCCCCCCCCCAGTAAATGTGCGCACCATTACCATGTGTCAAAATGAAATTTTAAACGGAGGAAAATATTATAAAATGGCTTTCAGGAATTAGGAATTTTTGAAATCGTGCCGCTACGATGCGTTTTAACGGGAATTAATTGCACGATGCAATTGGCATCAAGCTATCTCATTTTGCTTCACCCCCTAAAAAATATTCATAGGGAGACGTAATACGGATTGAACATCGAGTTTCATAATGCCCACGAAAGCACAAAATATGGAAGATTATGTATATATATGCAAATACTTCATAACGTATATTTAGACTCTCTAAATTGAAGGTGCTCCAGGTTTCTAAACTGCGGTCTACATCGGTCTCGCTTTCTGGCCTTCGATCGGTTTTTGGGGTCACGTACTTCATTATTTCATAAAAACTGTATGACAAATTTGTAAAAAAAAAAAAAAAATGGACCAGCATCCTAACGAAACGCGACGAAACGCCCGAGGACCGCGCGAAGAGGCAAATTGCATTTCGCTTCCGAATTCGATTTTGATCGGCCGCATCGGATTCTGTCATTAACTCGCGGTTGTCGCGAGAGGCTTCCTTTTCCCGGACGTTTTTGCATCATTTACGCGTGCGTTTATGTTATGCAAATTTTTTTTCACGACAGGTATACGAGAAACCTGGTGGATGCGGGGAACGGTAAATTCAATTTGATGGTTCTGTGCTGGGGAGAGGCCCACGGTTCCAGCATTCACGACCATGCCAATTCCCACTGCTTCATGAAGGTAACACTTTTTATTTATTTATTTATTTATTTTTTCCTATCTTGGGTCTCGATGTCTTCGCGAAAACGAGCTTATAACCTGGGACGCTTTTCTTCGCGGAAGTCGCGAATTTCTTTGTGCTGCAAAATTGCGCAAAAATTTCTGAGCCCTCCAGATTTTACTCCACTGATTGCACGATTGGCATCATTTTAAGTTTAGACGACGAAGCCGTCGTCTGTCCATCATCGACATTGTAGCCAAATGACGGAACGAGATTCGAAGCTTCCAGATGTCTGCTGATTTTGGTGCATTCCAGCCAGCTCCAGCGAATTTCCGGCTCGTAAATTAGTTCTCGTAACGACGGTTTTTAGTGACGTTGGCTTACGTAAAACGAGACCCGCCGGCGACTTCCGGAAAGGATTGGAAATTCGCGGAGACGACCCACTTTGCGTCCGCGGGCGGGGGCTTCCGCGTCTCGTTGCCCCCCTTTTTATTATTATTTTATTTATTATTATTTTAGATGCTGATGGGGTCGTTGACGGAGACGAGGTTCGACTACCCGGGCGGGGACACGGTGGGGGAGCTTCACAAGATTTCCATCACGGAGCTCAAGACGAACGAAGTCGTCTACATCAATGGTAATTCGGGTCGCCGTTCCTTTTTTTATGAAAAAAATTTTTTTTTTGAACCGTTCCGTCATCCGATAGAATGAAATACAACCTGCTGGTAGCCAGATTGCAGGTGAGAAGGATAAAAAAAAAAGAACTGTCGTCGCATAACGACACGCCCTTCCGCTGCTTTAATTACGCCTAAGCTGAATTTGCGTCTTATTCGGGTTTTCGGGTTATTGCATCCCGAGTCCCGATAGAATTATCATTGGTAACGACATCTGGGAATCGGCGATGGTTGGAGCAGTGGCGGATCCAAAAATAGGGGTAGGTTCCCAAGTTCCTACCCAGCCCCCCCCCCCCCCCCCCCCGGCGGCTGGGGGGTAAAAAAAGGGGGAGGGTCCCAAGTTCCCCCCCCCCCCCCCCCCCCCCCCCCCCCCGGGATCTGGGTTGGAATTGGGGGCAAAACGATGGCCGAGTTTTAATACCATTAGTGACGTGTGTCGCAGAAACTCCTTTCAGCCGATTGCATCTCCGATCCATTTAATCCTGTGATATCCCCGTATCGGTGCGGCGCCGGGTGCGAAGTGGGCGTCAAACCAAGAGGAGAAACACGATCTGTAACGATTTGCTTTCCTCATTTTGCCGATGACGCATTTCGAGGCGACGATTTTTTGCTCGCGATGGGTCGTGCGTGCGGTTCCCAGCGGTAGTGAGCAGAAAACGACTCGCTTTCGCCGACCGTGCGTGGTGGGACTCGAACCGCTTCTTTGTCTTCTATTACGGTCGGCGTTGTGGGATGCGCGGTCTCGATTTTTCGAGATGGACCCGACTTTCCCGAGATGATGGAGCGATGTTTTTTTTTTTTCAAATCTGTGAAAAAGGAGGTTTGTTTTTCGGCGTTCTCGGAATGTCCCTGCCGGCCTTTCCCCGTTCCGACCCTTTTTCGTCGAGCCGAGGTCGTGGGTCGTGACGTTCCCGCGAAGAGAGGGCGAGCTTTCCTGGCAATTGGCAATTCTCGGCACGATACAGAAAGGGAGGAAAAAAATGGGACAGGAAAAAAGTGTAAAATCCAGCGGATTCCGCTTTATTGGGACGCGTTGCTTCCTGGTCGATTTACAGCAATCGAGCGGCTGCCCCAATAAAGGGAGCTTACCTTATAGAGTATGGTGAGAAACCCAGGCGCGAACGTCCTTGTGCAAGAACAATTCGGAAGGAGGAAATGTGCCCATTAGTTGCTCGTTTCACGGCCGATAAAGCTTCTCTAAAGCACGGATGCCAAGAGCACCGCGTCCGCTCTCGTCCGTGGCCTCATTCGCGAGTCGCCTGACGGTCGTGCCGCGGGTTCCTCGTCGGCGACGTTCCGTTAGCGAGGCCTCTCGGCGACGACGTCAGAGATTGCCGTGTGTCGTCCACGAAGTCGTCGTGTTCGGCGAACCACGGTGCGTTTTCGTCGACGTCGACGCCGGCACGAACGAAAGCCGGATCCACGGCAGCGGTTCGCGACCGCGAAAGACGCGAGAGAGCGGGCGGAAAATCTGGGACCGACGTTCATCTCGACCTTGCCCTTGATAAAGCGGATTTTCGACCCGAATATACGGCTGAATTGAAATACACTTGCATAGAAACGGTTCCGTTCCTGACAAAATGCTCCGATGGCCCAACAAAGCGGAATCCACTGTAATTTACAAAAAGCGTTTTTAAATATGAGTGAATGTGTAAAAACGGGTTCCTCGCGATATCAATTTAAAAAAAACGCTTGACTAACGAAGAATTGAAGCGCGATCGATTCGGTTATCGGGATTATAGATTAATCGATTGATTAATCGCCGGTCCCGTGAATATTCCATCATGCGGAGTCGGCTGTGTTTGAGTTCCAGCATTTACATTTTTTTCGATCGTCTGTATCATCGGAAGCAATTTACTTTTGTTTTGCTCTTGGTGGGTATCCGGCATGCTTTTTTCTTAGAGGAACAGCTTTTTTTTTGCATTGGTTTTATTGGCTCATTCGCGATAGAGATCGCCAGAAATGACTTCCTTGCGAACAATTATGTCGCGATGGAAGAAAATGCACCGCGTGGAAAATGATCTTGCCGCGTGGAAGATGATCTCTCCTTGTGGAAGATGATCTTCGAGGAAAGAGCCGAGTGGGGGCACTGGGGGGGCACGGGTGAGAAAATGCAAGAGAGAATGGGAAGGGCGTATTTCCATGATAATGCGGAACCGACTCCTTATCGTGGATTCTCTCCCGTCTTTCCTTCCCCAAGATCGGCTGGACCGAAAAAAATGAGACCAAGGCACAGAAAGCCGAGCTTTCCCCGTTGGCTTTTCGCCGTCGGTCGCGTTTTAGCAGATCAAATGGACGTTCACGAACGGCGATCGAGGAATTCCGTCCGTGTCTATCGTCCGATCATCAGATTTCGACAGTTTATCCCGGATCTCGATTTTCTCTTTGAGGTCCGATCGAGGGTCAAACTTCCATCGGTTTCTGCATATTTATTATTGGGATCGGTCGGAACGGGGGCCTTGCGATTCGCCGTAATCGGAATCGAGCAGAAACAGCCGATATCGCCGAACAGGCAGGAGACGATTTATTCCTCGTTCTCTCTTTCTGTTACCCTTTGGCTCCCGACTCCGTAACCCTGAATAAGTTCCAGGGGTGTTTTCCGTATGCCGACATGAATTACGACACGATCTTTCTTCCAGGACTTGTTTTCGGAAGCTTTGACTCGCGTATCAGATGGGAGTCGGAGATCTTTCTAGATTTATTTCGAGCATAAAAAACGGAACTGGTTCTTCTTGCGTCTCGTCCTCTCCTTCCTGTGCCCTCTGCGACCAGATTCTCATCGACGGGACGCATTCGGGGTCGGACGCGACCGAAAATGACGCGATTTTTAGCCGGCTCTATTTTTCTTTTAGCAGATCCGGGGAATCGGTCGAGACGGAAATGGCTCTTCGACGTTGCAACCTGGTTTCTAGGACGACTGAAGAAGAATAAATCGTCTTCCCGACAACCCGTCATAAAACGGGTTGTCGGGAAGGGATCAAACACTGAAATCACTTTTCGAGAGGAATTATGGGCGCGCTGCGCAATGCTTTCTTTCTTTCGGGGCTTTAACAGTAAATGCGGAATCGTTTTTTAAATTTTCGGCTGCATGAACTGTCGGTTTCCCTGGAAGATTCGAGGGGATTCCGTTGTTAACCTCTATCATATGGAGTTTTAAAATAATTTGGTCCCCTTACGGTCGGAATTGAATTCTGCCCTTTTAAGCCCCAAGGCGTCATATATTACGACGAATTTGATATCGCTGGTATTTATCGTTCTACGATAAGAGAAGAAAACCACGTGAAAGTCGCTGTACATTTTTTTTTTTTTTACAAATTTTCAAACTTTCCCCGCGTAAAATACTAAATACCATCGTATAAAAAAAAAATCTTCATAACAAAACAGCCTGACACGCACGAAATGCCAATATGCTTCAACCCCATCACGTGAAGATATCATGTCAGAAGCCTACCCAAGGGCCAGAAGGGGCTCGTCGATGCGACATTTGCAAAGCATCAGATGCATCAAAAATAAATTCGTACTCTAAAGGTTAAGGCAGAAGGTGTGTCGGGGGCGTGGAGAGATTCTATCGAGGCCGAGGGTCCTTCCGAAAGAGCCAAAACGACGAGGGGAATACAAATGAGTCCATGGGGATCTGCTCCCGGCTTTTATCTTCTGTCTTCGCGTAAACATGTTATTTTTAAATATCTTTCCTCTGCGGTGATAGTTTTTTATTTTATATGTTGTTGTTCTGAGAGCGGAACGATAACAGTTCGATTAATCAATAAGGATGAAGGGTAAACAGGCTTAAGCCTCGAGTAACAACCATTTCAAGGAGATGTTTTAGTGAAAAGCAATGACATGCAGCGCAGTAAAGAATCGTTGCAAATTTCCACGCACCCGTTTCCGCGAAGAGAATCGAAGCGAGAAAGCGTTCCCGAGTGGAAATCGCTGCGATGAAAGCTTGCAGCATGTAAAGTGAAATAAAAATTGGGAAAGATTACCTGCGCCGATTGACTCACCTCAACAGGTCGTACGTCCTCTTTATGTACGTATAAAGGAAGGGAGGAAGGAAAGGAATGAAGATATACAAGGAAGATTGGAAGGACTCCTTCGATTCTTTGCCGAGGAAACAAACAGTGCCGGAAAGTAGTGGTGCAATTTGCAGGAATCCATCCATCGAGACGAATCCTGCTCTCTTCACCTATTTATTTCGCGCGTTCGTCTTCGTGTCGACGGCAAAAAAAATCGTCCTCGACCGTGATCGGCGTGGAGAAAGTGACGAAAAGCCTCATCTCTTCCTCAGACGAGCAGGGTCTGCACCGGGTCGAGAACGCCAGCCACACGCAGCCGGCCGTGAGCCTGCATCTCTACTGCCCGCCCTTCGACGCGTGCCACGCCTTCGATCAGCGGACGGGGCACAAGACGATGAACAAGGTCACCTTCTGGAGCGCCTTCGGCAAGCGGACTCCGTTCCAGTGAGTGAGACGCGCGACGTTTCGAAAGTTTTCCTTTTAAAAATAAGCTTATAAGTGAATAAAGTGGACGAAGGTGTATTCCACTTTCGACCCCGACACGTAACCGATAGATAGTTGCTAAATTTTCCGCTTTATCTCGTTTCGATAAACGGAGGCGAGAGTGCCCAAGGGCGACTTTCCAAACGTGGATTTCGTGAACGATAACCACGTTTGCCCCTTTAAAGGGGGAGGCAAGGTTCCCTCCCGGTTTCGCTTTTCCACCCTGTGTCGGATGGATTGGTGTCGAAAGTCTTGGAGTCGATGGGAAATTTAGTCACTCGTGGATTCAGCAATATTTTCTGGTGAAGCAGTCATACGATAGCATAAAATGCAAAAATTAGGTCATACAGATAAAAAAGAAATTGCATCTGAAAAAAAATCATTCCAAATTAACAGATGGTCTACTCAAATGAAACCACATAAGAAGAGAAGACATACTTCTTAAAAAAAAATCAATTTCGTTTGTCAGAAATATATTCTCGAGTCGGTCGATCCAAGGTTCCAAGTCCCTGCATTTCTTTTTCTTCCTAATCGTCGCACCCCCAGTCTCCAGCACGATCAGCCGCGATTGTTCCAAAGCGACGAGTTCAAGAACGTTCAAGTGGCTCTTCATAAATTCATTCCACGGTGCCATCCTTCTCTGCTGTTTGCAGTCCTCGGCCCAACACGACTACAGTTTTCACTGACTTTTTTTTTTTTTACGTTGATTCTAGCGCTTCCAGCGAGATCTATACACGTAGCCCTCGAGGACGATCTTCCTTCCGAGCCTTGCCGTTTCCATTATCTCGGACCCGTTTTAAATATCCATCTTGCACAGGGAGGGAACCTTGCCATATTTTAGAACCCTTTTTTTGGGGTTGAAGCATATCAGCCGTGAAAATGAGGCTTGGAAAGTCGGCCCCTGGGCACTTTCGACTGTGAGAGATTAAATCTTGCAGGTCAGAGATTAAATATTGTAGATCAGATATTAAATCTTGGAGGTCAGAGATTAAATCTATGGGAATGCGATGGTGAGATTCCACTGGGGCGAAAGTGGAACTAACCGTAAACAAATACGGTCCCTGACATGTTTTACTCGCTACCTTTTTTTTTGCCTTTTGAATACGAACTGTGAAAACTTGTCCCATGACCTTTAAATACTTGTGCCCGATGCAGTAAAAGAACCTTAGCGTGAGAAAAGCGCTCCTCCTGCTTTCCATACGAATTGATTTTCCTCCCCTTGTTCCATTAGTTGTCATAGGAAGAGAGGCTTCCGAGAAACGCCTCTTCATGCTTTCATCCAAGACGGCGTTTCCTCCTCTCCACTCCGAATCCGTAGTGACCGCATACTGGGTGTCCCGGAATTTCTGTATTTATTTTTATTTTTATTTTTATTTGCATTTTTTAATATTTTATTTATATTTTTTTCTAAAGCTAAGGCATAAGGCAACTAAATTTCACGGCGGGCCGGATGGCAGAGTGCTGAACGTTCGCGAGCCAGCGCCTACCAAATGTCATTAAAATGAAAATTGTATCTCACGTCTCACGTCAAGCGTGCAGCTGAACGTCTATGGTCAGAACGTAATTTTCGGATTCTTGGTGTTCGCCCTCCCGTAGGAAGTGTTGTTTTTGTCGTCTGTCGAAATTCTAATAGGCCACTTTCCCTGTACTTAGTAGTTGCCTTATTTGGCAAACTCTTTGGGAAAGCGAGTCTTTTGTTTTTTTTTTAATGCGACATGATATCTGGAACATCTTGAATTTGGAGAGATCATGAGATCGGCTTCGCATTCTCACAAGATCGGTCCATCGTTTCAAAGGTCAAAGGTCATGGCATTTTCAAGAGAAAAAAACCTGGATATCGTGCGCAATAACTGAGCTAATGTTTAGTCAGTCCTCATGAGGACTTAGCTAAGCCTAGAATGAGACTCCTGCTTTCCCTGCGAAAAAGTCAAGGTCGAACAAATACCTGCTGGAATTGACGATGCCGACAAATTGATCCGTCTGGGGATCGAAATCGTTACCGTTGTCGATGATGCCGGAGTTAATCGTCGTTTCTTTCGTTTTACATCTTCTATTTCCACGTTTAACTGTGGATTGTGCAGTGTTCCTGGCTCTTTCTTGCAGGCAATTGGAGAGAGAGACGAGGAAGATGGGAGTGCCGCTCACGGATCATCCAGCGAGCATCTCCATGGAAATAGCCGAACCGGAAAACAACTAGGATTTTTATGCTTCCGTCATACCCGTTTAGAGGGCACAGCAGGGGAACCGTGCTCCGTGCTTCATGCTCCATGCTTCGTGCTCCTTTCCTCCTCCGTCGTATGAGCTTCGACTCGAGCGAGTATTCGAGGGGTCGACTTGAAACGGGTTTGACGTTCGATGGAACGAGGACTGCCGACTCGAACGCGAGGGCAAGTTGGAATTCCATCGAAATGGACCTTAGAAAAGACGTAGGACTCTTTCTAACGCGCTCGACCTGGAAAGATTTTTAACAAAAATGAAAAGAAAAAAAAAAACTCTGATTTCATCCGAGGACATGCTGTAAAAAGCTGCATGAACAAGGAGCAAGGTTCTCGACTGTAGAATTTGTCCATGAAAATCCCTAACACGTTAAACCTCGTGACTAACCCCCATTGATTCTCGTCCCGCGTTACGTTAGATTCGTTTAGGATTCTGAGTTGGGCGTTGACGACTTTTTCGCGACGGCAGACGTTTTGAACTGGTTCAATTCAGCCCCTCAACCCTCACCTCGCTCATCGAATGGCGAAGATTGCTTTCCGGGGTCCGTGCGAAAAAAGATCGGGGCAGAAATCCGTGACGGCGTGAGGTTTTCGCGGAATCGTCACGGACGTGGAGCCCTCAGAGAGCCCTCGGAGAACTCAAATCTGAGGGAAAATTTTCTCTCAAGCGTTCTTCCGTTCGTGTGAGCGGGTGGTGGGGCCTGTGATTATNCGGATGGCAGAGTGCTGAACGTTCGCCAGCCAGCGCCTACCAAATGTCATTAAAATGAAAATTGTATCTCACGTCTCACGTCAAGCGTGCAGCTGAACGTCTATGGTCAGAACGTAATTTTCGGATTCTTGGACAAGCGGGAGGGCATCCTTCACAACAAAAACAGCAGACAGCTTTAAGATTATCCGGTGAAAGGGACATGAATCATCAACGGAATAAACCGTTTGAGAAACCCTTTCGCTCAGAAAACAAAAAAAAAAAAGTGACATGATATCTGGAACATCTTGAATTTGGAGAGATCATGAGATCGGCTTCGCATTCTCACAAGATCGGTCCATCGTTTCAAAGGATAAAGGTCATGGGATAGGTCTCAAATCTCATGGCATTTTCAAGAGAAAAAAACCTGGATATCGTGCGCAATAACTGAGCTAATGTTTAGTCAGTCCTCATGAGGACTTAGCTAAGTCTGGAATGAGACTCCTGCTTTCCCTGCGAAAAAGTCAAGGTCGAACAAATACCTGCTGGAATTGACGATGCCGACAAATTGATCCGTCTGGGGATCGAAAGCGTTACCGTTGTCGATGATGCCGGAGTTAATCGTCGTTTCTTTCGTTTTCCATCTTCTATTTCCACGTTTAACTGTGGATTGTGCAGTGTCCCTGACTCTTTCTTGCAGGCAATTGGAGAGAGAGACGAGGAAGATGGGAAACGGCGAGTGCCTAGTAGGTCGCTCGTAGAGGTACCTTTATCGGCTTGGCCTTTTGTTGATCCTAAAAATACGAAGGCAGTATGGGCAAATCTCCCGTGTCGTCCCCTTGGCACGAGGCACGAAGTAGCTCCATGCTCCATGCTCCATGCTTCGTGCTCCTTTCCTCCTCCGTCGTATGAGCTTCGACTCGAGCGAGTTTCGAGGGGTCGACTTGAAACGGGTTTGACGTTCGATGGAACGAGGACTGCCGACTCGAACGCGAGGGCAAGTTGGAATTCCATCGAAATGGACCTTAGAAAAGACGTAGGACTCTTTCTAACGCGCTCGACCTGGAAAGATTTTTAACAAAAATGAAAAGAAAAAAAAAAACTCTGATTTCATCCGAGGACATGCTGTAAAAAGCTGCATGAACAAGGTCGTTCCAAGAGCTGACATCTTAAACAGGTACTTTTGGGGATTGTGCAATTTGGAGCACTGATTGGGGGTAACTAAGAGCAGGGCGCAATGCAATCTAAGCAAATCCTAAGACTCAACCCGCAACTGAACTTTTTCGCGACGGCAGACGTTTTGAACGGGTTCAATTCAGCCCCTCAACCCTCACCTCGCTCATCGAAGGGCGAAGATTGCTTTCCGGGGTCCGTGCGAAAAAAGATCGGGGCAGAAATCCGTGACGGCGTGAGGTTTTCGCGGAATCGTCACGGACGTGGAGCCCTCGAGAACTCAAATCTGAGGGAAAATTTTCTCTCAAGCGTTCTTCCGTTCGTGTGAGCGGGTGGTGGGGCCTGTGATTATCGATTTACATCAGAAACCTTTGAATTACATGGTGATTGGCATTGTATACTGAATAAATAGTGATTTGATTGATATTTTAAACGATGTCTCCTCTTGCATCAGATGACCGCATTTAATAGCGACTAGTCGGTCCATTCGCGACTGGAAAACGCGTTAGCTTTTCAAGCGATCGGCTCGATATTTTTTTTTAGGAGAGATGCATATTTTTTCGTTCAACAATTTCATGCTTCACAAGCATTTTAAGTGGTCGTCACAATGCGTATGCCATGGGACCTAGTGTTTTGTATGCTAGACCTGTCGCTATTTGCTCCGGAGCCTACGGTGAGCCGAGCAGCCTGCAGAGGCTAAGCCTAGCGCTTAGCACGAAGACGTCGCAGCCAAGCAGGGAACGAGAAACGAGTCACTCGGCTTGTCGGTAGGCTTCATGCAGGGTCGACGGACTGCATCGTGAATCCGTCACGAGAGGCTCTCACCGCCTGCCGAGCTGGAGTCCATTGCTCGGGATTGCGGGCGCTGGGTGATCATACTGGGTCCGTTCGAACCACGATCCCGTTGAGTTTGGATTAGCGGTTTTCAAAATGTTTCTATGCGAGTTTGGAATGATTTTTTTTCATGCGCTCATTCTCCGACCCTGCCTGCATTCCCCACGCATCCACTTGTTTTCTTTTGCGGAAAAAATGGAGAAACCTGGACTTCTGGCTTCAGGCAAATGTCAAGGTCGCCTTTCTGTCACCTTAACACCTCAAGCCAGTTTGCCGCCCCCCGCACGCACGACGTCTTCTTTGACACGGGCGGTTAGCTATTTAAATACCGACTTGAGGGGTTAATGAGTCTCCCGTAATAAAACGAAAGCGACCGCTTATTGTTGCATCCTGTCTGCGTCTGTCTCACACTTGGTCAAACGGTGACCAACAAGTACTGACCTCACCTTCGTGAAAATTGCAATTCAAATAGATGCGGAAAATGTAAGGGCTAATTTTTTTTCCAACAAATTCACACCAAAAAGAGTGTTTTTTTTTATTGCCAATTTTAAACTTGAAATTTCCTTCAGCAGGAAAAGCAAGAGCAATCGTCGGCCTCCCGACATCAAGGCGCATGCACATGACACAGCTTGGGTTGAGATGTCACCAGCCAGAGGTGATGGGTGGATTGCATAAAACTCACTTTAGCGTGATGGAAACCTCTTGTATAGTATGAAAATACTTTGAGTAGATTACAGTGATATCTGTTTCAGATAAGAGAGTTGAGGTATGAGGCCGTAATATTCACACGTACAGGGTGTCCACTAAGTCTTTTCACCCCAGTAAGATACTGATTTTCTTTTTTTCCCG